ACTTCCCTGGTGGTTTTTTTTTTAATTTGCTGCAGGAAGACTTTCTGGAGGGTCCTAATTTGCTGATATTCCAGTTCTTTCATGCATTGTGCCACTTTCCAGCACTGAGCACTTGACCTTGTTACAGTGTTTTTAATAAGGTTGATTTAAAGGTTTGTAGGACAAGGAATGTTGGTAATAAATGAAAGGGTGAAAAAAAGAAGGGAAATAAATTTCAATATTAACTTGAATTTAGTGGTAATGGCTCAAACCCCCAGCATCTCTATTTTTCCATGTTATTTTCTTGGGTGCTTTCTGTTTACACTGGAACTTCCTTGCATATGGGGGATAAAAATTACCTTTATTGGGCATTATAAGGAGCAGAACTCAAATTTGGTGATCTGAGAAACCAGTCTTAGCCCTAGCTTTTAATGAGAGGGGTTTGCCTACCAAGAGGCCTAAAAATGTCTCTACTATATTTTTGGCTTGAGGTCAGTTTTGACAGCTAGAACTTTGACAGGCAGAGGAGCAGAAGAGGCTTGGCTGGGAAGGTGCTGCTTCCTGCCACTGGGTGCCCACAGCTCATCAGAAATGTGATTTTATGCCCAGATGCTGCACCTGGGGACAGCACTCACCAAGTCATAGACTCCTAGAATGGTTTTGGGTGGGATGGACCATAAAGACCCATCTAGTTTCAACCCCCTGCATGGGCAGGAACACCTCCCACTAGACCAGGTTGCTTCAAGGCCCCCAAATCCCCAAAGCTGAGCAGAATCATGCCAAGGTTGCAGCAGTTAGGTCTATCTTCTGAGAAGAACACAGAGCCAGGTTTGCTTCCACGGAAGGGCAAGTTTCAAGCAAATATATGGTATAATGTTAAATTAAATCATCATAATGTAGTTTCTATTCTTTTTAAGAGCTAGATTGGCATTGTTAAAGGGTTAGGGGTGGTATGAGCAGTGAGAGCCAGTGTTGGATCAGGACTTCAATGACTGAGGGGGTACAGGAAGGTAAACAAGCCAAAAGATGAAAATAATCTCAAAGATTTTGAAATCCAAGACAGTTTTTTACAGCTTAAGGTAGAGTCAGGAAACAGAGGCTGCCACCTGCCCTTCTTTCTGCCTAAGGCTGCCTCCAGCTGCCCTGTTTGCCTGGACAGTGGGATCAATGCACTTCTATCAGAAGTCTTGGGAATGTTTGAAAAAAAAAACACCAAATCATTGTTCTGAAATCCAGTTGTTGGCAGCTGATCAGAAGGCAAAACATTGAAAGTCCCCAAGTTCTGTGTGCTGGGCTGGGCACCAAATTCCAACAGGTTAAAAAAATACAGCTGCATTTCCTCTCTGAAATCATGGCCTCGTGTCCAGTGGTGTTGTAACGTGATTTGGAAGAGCTTCAGGAAGGTGGATAACATTGCCACCTCATTCCAGCCTGGATTTTGGCTTGTTCCCAAGGGCAGGAGCCCTGCCCACGTGTGTGCCCCCTCCTTCCTCTTGGTGCTCCACACCAGGGCTTGGGTTTCCCCGTGAGGTGCCCTAGGAACCCCCGCAGCAGCTGTGACCTTCCTTCATGTCCATGAGTTGGAAGCTGGAAGGGCTGTAAAATCTCAGAGCTCACTGAGGAACAGAATAAAGTCCCAGGCTGGAAGGAAGGCAGTTTTCCTGGGAGGAAATGGTGCAGGCAAAGGGGAGCAATGGAGCGTTGGGAGAGTGAAGGAGGGTCCCAGGAGGAGGATGAGCGTCGTTCCTCGGGGAGCAGCGACCAGTGCTCCTGCCACCCCGCCTGGACAGTGGACGAGTCAGTGCTGAGGGGCCTGCTGGGGACACCTCTGGCAGCTGCTCCTGCCCTGCTGCCTTGCACCACCACTGGTTGCCTTTGCACCTTTTGCCCTGCTTTCTCAGGACTCGCTTGTTGCACGGAGCGCCCTGCACCGCTCGCTGCTGTGCACTCCTGCTAACTGCTTCTGCATTCAATGCCCTGCACATTTTGTACTTGTTGCATTTAATACCCTGCATTTCTAATAGCTGCTTTGTGTTCAGGGCCATGTACGTCTAGTAGTTACTTGTTGCGATTGATGCAGTGCCTTGTTAGTGATCACTTTTGCATTGAATGCCCTGCACTTCTGGTAGTTTCCTTTGAATTAAGTGCTGTGCACTTCTACAGTTTCTTATCTAGACTTGTTGCATTTAATGCCCTGCACTTCTAGCAGTTAAGTGTTACCTTTAATGCCATAATTAATAATAGATTATTCAGATAATCACTTTTGAATTGCAGGCTGTGCAGCTCTGCACTTGTAAGAATGACTTGCTGCATTGAGTGCCCTGGGCTGTACCTTGTGGAAACGACGTTTGAAAACAGGGGCTGACAATTTGTGTTGCTTGGAGGCAGCTGAGGTTAGTTCAGAGCTTGGTGCCACGGCCCTGCAGGTCATTTTTCAGCCAGTGTGAGGTGTTGGCAAGTGTTTGGGAGTCTGTGTGTGTCTCGTATTTCACTGCTGATGCACAGGAAGTGTTGGTTGTTTCTATAGAACTAAAGAGATTTTTTCCTTCTGTTTTTAGAAATTTGGGGAGGTATTTAATCTTTGCTTGTGGCCTGCTTGGGAAGCACCCCCTGACACCAGGGCAGAAAGTGGCTTTCCCTGAGCTCAGTGTTTGTGGGATGAGGGTCCTGCAGTGGTGGCAGAGAAGGGCTGTAGGCAAGAATGGCCTTGGGGAGACCCAAACAGAGCCATTTCTTGTCATAACACTTCATAGATGAGCCAATTTTATTATTCATTTTAAATAAACCCAACTTTTCCCCCTGACTTACTGGTAATTTCTACTGGGGCAGAAACAAGGAACCCTCAGAATTCTGTGACCTTCTGCAGGACAGACCCTTGCATATCCCTGGTTTGGGTGTTTGTGCCTTTGGGTTCCTGCCTTCTGCATGAATTCCATGCTGATTGAAAGGATGCATTAAGTACAAGATAATGGAAACTGTCACAGTTTCTTATGCCTTTAAATCTCTAGTATGTGCTTTATTGGAAATGTTTGAACTGAAGCCACCAGTAGTATTTTCCTTTTCTGTAATCATGTAACTATATTATAGTAACTATCATCATGTCTGCAATCTGTAAAGGTGTAAACTGCATTTTTGTGGCAGGAAGACACCTGAGATAATGGGACAAATATGTTGTTTGAACTGGAATTACTGAGCAACCAGAAAGTTTGCATCATTGTTTTAATGTATTAATATATGTATTATATATTGCTACAGCAACTTAATGGGATATTAAATAGCATCATTCCTTATTCTCTCTATATTTACCAAACCTTTAGAAGTTAATAGACATAATTGTCTACTGCTATTCAGCTGCTTCTTTCTACTGGCTTTAGATTACCATAATTTTGTTTATTGGTATGGAAAAATTAGCAGCAAAACATACTTAATTTAATTGAAAATAGCATTTGAATGTAGGCTGGAATGTTTGTGTTTCTTCCATTTGTATTTCTGCTTGCTCTGTTTTAAAGATACTAAAGTAAAGATAGCTCAGCAGTAATTAGAGTTAATTAATGATTACCTTAAGGGGAGAGTGCTGCTGCCTGTATGAGTGCACATGCACCATGCTTTTTTTTTTTTACTATACTACTGCTTTAATATTTCCAGTCTTTCAACAGGGAAACTTCTGTTTCTAACAGCATTTTTTAATCTCATTTTCTGCTTCAGTAGAAGTGTAGAAATGCACAGTGGTTTTGCAATCTAAATTAATTAGGTGTGTTTAAAAGAGGGGGGTTTCTTTTGCTTGTAATCCACTTCTCCTTCATCTGTGGAAGGATTTGGAGTGGATTTGAATAAAACAGTAAACCAGAATCCTGTCCCTTTGTTTGGCCAACACAGAAAATGAAACAACATGTCTCTAACCCTGACAAAACACCAAATCAGTCTGAATTACCTTCATCTTTTACAGCTTGGACTGGCCGTGGCCAAATTCAGGGCAGGGAAAGGGAGAACACAAAGCATTTGGTAACAAAGATACAGAAAAACAATTTCTAAGGGTATATTTATTTCATGTTTAACTTTTTTAAATGCTGAGACCTTTCAAAAGTTCCAACCTAGTCCCGAGTCCTGTAGCCTACCATCCTACTTTTCTGGGTGCCTCCTGTGACATTCAGAACATTTCTGGGTAGAAGGACACGAGCACAAGTCTACATGCTCATGAAGAAGTTATGCCAATAGCTAATAACGTTGATAAAACTGCTTCTCTGCACACAAGTACATAGTAAGGAATGAGAAGATATGAAAAGCCTGGGCTGATTTGTGGCTGATGTCTGATTGATGAGGAGAACCTGTTTGGTGGGGTCAGCTCAGGCGTGAGATTCAGCTTTTGCATGCATGAAGCCTGCACAGGTGCTGGAGTTCAGCTCAGAAGAAGCTGTGCAAGCCCCAAACTCATCCTTGAAATGCTTTAAGAGTGCAGGATGGTTGGAAATTAAAGGTTGCCATGAATGTAATAGAACTGACTTCAGAAATGTGTTTTCTCTTCCAGGGAGGATGTCAGAACAGCCAATGTCATCGCAGCTGAAGCAGTAACTTGTCTGGTCATAGACAGAGAGTAAGTACAGCATCTTCCTGCTTGGGGTGGAGGGAATATCTCCAGGTGGACCCTTTTCCAGTTCTTAACAAAGGCCTTTGATTATTTTCTCCAGAGAAAGTAATTAAATGTTGAGTAATTCAGTCATGGTATCTGTGTGTCCTTGATGAAGGAGAGGGAAGCCCCCCCATGATCAGTAAGATGAAACTCTGGAGTGACAAATGCAGACAAATAAGCAGTACAAAAAGAGCAACTGGAAATAAATTGGGAGATGTCATTGCTGTGGAGATGGATATGGGTGTTATGGTGGGACAGAGGTTGAGTCCATGTTGGTAAAACGTCTGGAAAAGCATCGAGCTTCTGGCCAGATGTTGTTCTAGTCAATGTGGGGATGGGGACCCTTCATCATGGCCCTGCTTGAAGCTCTGCAGCACAAAGTAGAGGAGATCAGAAGAGGGGAAAAAGTCTTCTGTAGGGAGCTTGCTGGAATTAGGGGGGTTAATCTAGAAAAGAAATGCCTGGGTTCCCATAAACTGCTGCAAATTCGGATGTTCTCTACAATTGTTGGGAATGAGGGAAAAAAAACCAAACAGCATTACCTTGAAAATTCAGTGTGACTCTTGGGGTGGTTTTCATGTTGTGAGGACAGATCTTCCCTGGGAATCCTGCCAAGGGAATGTGGTGTAGATCTGTGAGGCCGGAAGAGAGGAGGGTGGGATGAACAGTGATTGACTGTGCAAGAGCCCAAAGCAACCTGCAGGAGGGAGGTGAAAGCCAAAAGGAGGTGGCTCTTCACATGGGGATCCCCCACAGAGCTGGAGGAAAAGGAGAAGAGTTTGCAAATGTTCAAAAGGTAAAGAAATCCACTGGGTTTTTTAAATACCTACCTTTGGGCTAGGAGCTTTCAGGGAGGTGTAGGAGAGTACAGAGGCAAATAGCACAGGTGGTTGCTCTGTCCTTGAACTCCTCCCTGGACACACTGTCTTGATGCAAGACACTGGCAAAGCTCAGGTGCTGTATTAGGAAGGTAATGGCTGAACTGGGGAAGACTACTTTAAAAATCCTAGGTCTTTAGGTATCTAAATGTGTTTGTGATCAATTAGTAAAAAATTATGGTCCATCTGTTGAAAACAGATGGTGGATTTCAGGGCTGTCAGCTGAGTGACTGGCTTTCACATACACAAGCAAGGTAGCCAGGGAGGTAAAAGACATGCTATCCCTTAACCTCTCTGTGGGGCAAAGAGGAGAAGAATTTGCATGATTAGGTCATTTAGCAAGCCAGAATTAAGAGGAGTGCAAAGCAACAAGTAATTTCTGCATTTTTTCCCCAGCACTTCAGTAAGGGGTATTTTTGGTTTGCACTGTAAGCATGAAAAAAGCTCAAATTATTCAGTAATTATAGAGTCAGTCACTCCTCATTTTACAGACTTCTTTGCTTGTCTCTCATGCCTGTTTCCCAGTATATAATGTCCTTGAAATGTTAAGGAAGTACGAGTTAAATTTGAACTGATGAAGCTGTAGATAATCTAGACCAGTCTAGTAATACTCTGCAATTAGCAGCAGAGTAACACTATTTATAAGAACCCTATTTATAGTGCAAGAAAAGTAATGTTATTTGTAGCACTATTTCTAGTTCAGGGAAGGTTGTCTTGTGTCCTGACCAGTTCTGGCTTTCTCATCTCTTATTATTTTCTAGGCAGGTAAACAACTGTAGAATCTACTTTTCATATGGAGAAAATAATCTTAAGACTTCTGGACATTTGGCAGATTGTGCAGACACTGCTCTGTTCATTAGGGAAAATAGTGTTTATTTCTTTCCAGATACAAAGTATGACAATTCTGGTTTGTTTTGGGGCTCATGGTAAATGTTCATATGGAGTTACAACTATAGAATCTACTTTTAATATGGACAAAACAATCTTAAGACTTCTGTACATTTGGCAGATTGTGCAGACACTGCTCTGTTCATTAGGAAAAATAGTGTTTGTTTCTTTCCAGGTACAAACTGTTACAATTCTGGTTTGTTTTGGGGCTCATGGTAAATGTTCATGTGGAGTTACACTTGCAGGCAGCTTTGCCTGGAGCCAGAAGCTGTTCTGCACACGAGAAGGACAGACTCATGTCACTAAGGTTGCCCAGTATTTTGTAGTCTAAGAGAAACCTTTTGCTGAGTCCCACATAACTATTGAAACAGCAATTCTCATGCTCTGTGTGTGCCTCAGTCTGAAGCATTTCAGCAACAATTGACGTTGCAATTTCAAGAGCAAGTTGTGGGGAAATATCACTTCCTTAACAGTCAAGGTATTTCTCTGAGGAGCTGGAAAATTTCAGTCTTGCTGATGGTAGAGTTTAATATTACCCATTGGCATTACCTTGTCCTCAGGGTAACTATACAGCTTCCTTGTAGAAGTCTTCCCAAGACTTCCAAAAATGGTTCAAAGCAAGCTCTGGCAGAGTTGGGTTTGAGATGGGACATGGCTTAAGCTTGAGAAGATGAAGTGGTTTGCCTAAAATAATTCCTGAAATTCCAAAAGATCTGTTAAAATGCTGCAAGTGAGCTGAAAATCCCACGAGGAAAACCAAACAGTAGGGCATGATGGGTCTTTAATTACCCAGCTCTCATGACATGGGTGCTGCCTGGCTTTTTCTTTGCCTTGTGAAACACCCAGGCCATTACAGTCACAAAAACACCCCCAAGACACCCAAAAAGCACTACAGCAGTCTCTTGCAAGTCTTTGTAGACATGCTTTGCAACAGTGGATTTTCTGCATCCTTTTCTGATGTAGAAATGGGCAGAGTCCTATTCTAAGGAAGGAAATAACCTGCAGTGCAGCTCAAATTTGATTTGTCCCACAGACTTGAAGCTGTTTTGTCCCCACTTGTCCTGAAAGCATTTGTTACAAAGGGCAACACTGGCAATTCTTTCCATCTTGCAATTATCTTTTAAGTCCCTTTCCTTTTCCAGAAGAATTAATTTCAGTGGGATTTGGTCCTTAACACTCTCAGGCTTCATCAGGATTCTCCACCACACAGGAGGTGAGATGAAGCCAACCAATCCAGCTCCAGCCAAGCTGTAGGAGAAATTTCAGGTGACTTTGCTAAGGATTTAACATCAGATCCTGCTGCATTTCACTCCCATGGGAGTGAATAAATATTGCTTGTGGACACTCAATGAGTTGAACACCCTTTTCTCTAAGTTGGAGAGATGGGTGGATGGCTGCTTTGGTAGGTAAGGAATTGGCTGGATGGTCACATCCAGAAAGTAGTAGTCAGCTACTGGATGGAGATAAGTGATGAGTTGTGCCCCTCAGGGCTCTGTCTAATATCTTCACCAATGCCATGGTGGGGTTGAGTTCACCCTCAGCATGTTCACAGCCAAGACCAAGCTGAGTGGTGCAGCTGATGTGCCTGAGGGATGGGATGCTACCTAGAGGAACTTGGACAACTTGAGAAGTGGGCCTTGGTGAACCTCAGTGAGGTTCCACAAGGCCAAGTGCAAGGTCCTGCATGTGAGTCAGGGCAATCCGTGGTATTGGTACAGGCTGAGGGATGAAGGGATGGAGAGCAGCCCTGAGGAGAAGGACTTGAGGAGCTGACAATGTGCACTTGCAACCCAGAAAGCCAACCATGTCCCAGGCTGCATCCAAAGGAGCATGGCCAGCAGGTTGGGTGAGAGGATTCTATCCCCTACTCCACTGTGGTGAGACCCCACCTGGAGTCATCAGCACAGGAAGGACCTGCTGGAGCACCTTCCCCATGAGGGAGTTGGAGTTTAGCCTGGAGAAAAGAAGGCTTCTGGGAAACCTGATGGTAGCATTTCAGTTTTTAAAGAGGCCTACAAGGTAGGGACAAACTTCTTAGCAGGGTCTGTAGTGATAGGACAAGGGCTGATGATTTTCAATGAAATAGAGGACAGGTTTAGACTAGATAGAAGGCTGATCTTTTTACACTGAAGGTGATGAGACAGTGCATAGGTTGCCTAGAGAGGTGGGAGATGGAAACATTCAAGCTCAAGCTGTTTGGGGCTCTGAGCAATCTGGTCTATTTGAAGATGTCCCTGCTTGTTGGTAGGGGTTTGGACCAGATGACCTTTAAATGTCCCTTCCAACCCAAACCATTCTGCCAACCTCTAGGAAGATGTCCTTCAACAATAACCTGAATGAGAAGAAGATACAGTCTCAGTGTAGAACTCTTAATTTGCTTGTTCTTTTAAAATTAGGTGAATTATTTCACAGACTCTGCATCGTATTTTCTGATACCAGCATGGGTGGCCTGACAGAAACACAGCAACTTTGCTAAGGGATCTCACCACTAAACAGCCTGGTGTCTTCTTCATCAAGCTCAAGCTTGATGGTGACACCGTGTTGATTCAACCAGGCTTTCTGAAGGGCAGGAGATGATCTTCCTGCCAACCAGGCAGCACAGACCCAACTGGGGGGCTTGCATGGGGCTTGTGAACTTCTGCAGAATCCACATGTTGGGAATTCTAAAACCAGACATCAACCATTTCAAGGCCTTTGGGTTTTTGGGGCGCCAACCTCATGGCAAAACCACTTTTCTTCCCATCCAATGTATGAGCTAGGTAAACATATCAATATTTCAAAACAGTTGTTAGTTGCCAGGTGTCTTTTATTAATTTTTAATTCCAAGAGCAAATGTTTCTTTCCAGTTACCAGGCTCTCTGTGTGTCTGACTTGCCAAGACCCTGTGTGAAATAAAAAGGAGACTGTTGCTAGTTAAGAGCTTCTTACAGTGATGCTGCAGTGATTTGTCGTCCAGCAAGAAGGCAGTTGTGGGAGGTGCCCAACGTTGTTGCCTCCAAAGTGCTTCCAGGTCACCCCAATTCATCTTAGTGAATCTTCAGGCTCCCTGAAGGGGTTATTAGATTTGTTGCACAAGTGCAGTTGGACTGATTGGGGTGAAGTTAACAATTGGGATATGCTGGATTGGGTGGATTAGTTCTCTTGGAACTAGTTTCAATTCTATTTCTTTTGGGATTAGTTCTCTTTCCAGTGAAACATCTTCTGATAAAACTGTGTAGAAATAAGTGGGACAACCTTGAGCAACTGTTCTGTAAACCCATTGGAATAAGCACATATAGGCACACTTGGAGATCTCCACACTTTGCATGGAGATGGAACAAGAGGAAAAGGTTCAAACCTCATTCCTCACACTTTGATCATCACTGGCACCCCAAGGGAGAAGTCAGGGCAACTTTTTAACTCTTTTTTTTTTTTTTTTTTTTTTTTTTTTTTTTTTTTTCACACATACCTCCTGAAACTGAAAAAGTGTTTGAAACTGTTGATAGATTCTCCTGGACTCTACAAATATTCACACTGAAACTGATTCAGCATCATCTTTTATTTAGATGTGTGGGGTTTTTTTTTTCCCTATCCATATAATTTATTTATGTTGATGCCGATGTTTTCCTGCAGTGCTGAGATTTACCAGATGTAAATGCTGTGGGGACTGGCAGGACAGAATTGCCTCATGCAAATGGTTGAGAGAGGAGCTGAGAGATAAGAGCCACTAAACCTCAAGGCACAGCAGCTGCTGCAAAACTGGGTGGTGTTTGCAGATGCTGAGTGCTAAATGCTGGGGTTTTTCTGCTTATTGTCTTCCTTGGTTCCACATATCCAGATGATACAGTTTATTTTTAAGGAGACATTTTACATTGCAGGCATTTTCAGATTTTTCACTTTGTATTTTACATGTTTTGTCTGGATTTCTGAAAGCCTGATGTTGGATTTTTAACAGGAGAGGGGTAGCTTTGAGGTGTCAGGAAAAGTATCAACCTGTACCAACCCTCTTGGCAATGGCAACTGGAGAAAAAGAAAAGAAAAATGTATTATCTTAGCATGACTGAACCCGTACAAGCTGAGCTGAAGTCTTTCATGGAGGATTTTAGGTGTTGCTGCTTTACTGCTTTTCCCAGCTGTAGTGAAGTTTATCCATGGAGAAAATTGGTTATAGGGAGATAATAGAAAAAAAGAAGAGAGAAGACTATGCAGGGGAAAAAACTGAGCCCTTTTCTGACCGAGATCTTGGGCAAGTTGTAGCTGAGATGAGACTTTAACAACCTTGAGCTGGACAATACAAAAGTGACTGGAGTGAGATTCGTTCCCTTCGTATGCTTAAGATATTCTAATGAAAACTTAAGGCTATTAGGGTGTTGTTACTCTTTTCAGTGACTTTCTTCTTTGCCCATTTGTTTCAGGAGGCAAAGATTTCTTTGGTTTGCCAAAGAAAAAGGAAAAAAGAAATGTTTAACATTGCCACATTTTCCAAAAACCAGGCCTAACTATTTTAAGTTGCATTTGGAGCCTCAGATCATGTCTTAGAGTGTTCCAGGATGATTATGGCGTTCCTGTGACTTGCTTAATTGCCTAAATGCCTGTTTGTGGTGCAATTAAGCACTGACATGCACCTCTCACTGTTGCCTTTCAAGGGTTTGGCTTCATCTTCAGCACAGGGAAGATAAATCTGGATGTGTTGAATGAGCTGAATCGTTCACATTTTTACCACTGAGTAAGGAATTTTGGATGGAAAGATAATCTGGTTATTAATGCAGCTTAACATTGGAAATTGCAGCCTGCCTTGTTAGAAAACTGCTAATACAATTTCCATGCAAGAAAAAAGGGGGTTTTGCCTTCTCTTCTTCTTTAATGGGTTTCCATTGCTTTTTCTGTGCATAAAATTATTTACACAAATAATGTCAATTGTATAATATAAAAGATTGTGAATTTAATTAAGTGGAAAATTTGAGGAATTTGTGTGGGCAGAGGCTATTTCCAGAGCAACAGTGACTTGTCCAGGATTTTCCTCCTGTGCTGGGCACTGGGGAGTGGGCAGCTGGAATCCTGGGTTCAGGTCTGGGCCCCTCAGGACAAGAAGGACATGGAGTCCTCTGGCCACCACATCCCAGCCCACTGGCCGAGTTCCCCCCTCCTGGCACCTCCAGGGAATGTTCCCCACGTTCCCCCACGAGGGCAGGGGCACAGCTGCCATCTCACCATGGGCTGCAGGGAAACTTCTGCTTGGGCACCTCCTGCCCCTTCTTCCCCACCAGCCACCAGCTCCCTCTGCCTCTCCAGCCCAGCTCTGCTCTTCTCTTCAGGTGCTTCTCTGCTCAGCTCTCACATCAGTTCTTTCCTATGTTCATGGCAGAGCCATCTATTGTCCCTCTCATGGCTCCTTGGCTGGGTGGAGCAGGGGGAGCTTTTTCGCTTCTTATGGAGCCACCCCTGGGGCCCTTCTCCTGCTGCCAAAAACCCACCAAACCAGAACAGAATAGTGGTGGCCTTGGCAGTGGTGGACTTGATGACCTTAAAAATCTTTTCCAGCCCAAGTAATTCTATGAAAGTGCTATGCTGGACAGGCCTGTTGCAGCAAGCAGCTCTAGATACAAACTAGTATAAATCCCTCTCCCACCTGTGGTCTCTCTCCTCATATTCATTACAGTAATGGGTAAACATGACTGCTCTTCATCAAGCAGGATAATTAAACCTCCTTCCATTCTTCTGGAAGCCCTGTCCCCACTCACCCTGTGCACACAGACTGCCTGTCAGGGTCAGGCATCTCCTGATGCAGCAGAACACTTAAGTACCCAGTTAAGACTGTACAGCATGTTTGATCTGCTTGAGCAAAGCCTAGTCCAAGAACTTCCCCCACCCTTGAGGGTAGAGGGAGGTGAAGTCACCCTGGTTAACCTCATGGGTCACAGGGGATTGCATTTCCCACAGCTGCCCTCTGCTCAACCCAGCCACATCAGGTCAGTGAGTTCTGCTCCTTGTATTTTCCCCCACATCCAGGATTTTGGAGCTTTTGGGGCAGTACATTGTTCACCTGCAACTATTTAGGCTATGTTATGTCATGTGGTCTGAAACCACATGGTTTTTTTTGAAAAATGCATATGATCTGCAAACGATCTGCAAACTGTTCCCTTAATTAACCTTTCTTTTCCTCACCTGCTGAATAGCACTTATTCTCTTCCACCCTAGAAGTTTTCGTTGAGAGAGGGCTGTATGAAATAGTCTCCTCTTATTATTAAATTTGTACATTTGGTCCCAAAAGGGGATGTTCATATTTTTTTATGGCTTTTTGCAACATTTCAGTTCAGTTTTTTCAACTTCTTGCCACCCGTGTCCATTCTTGGGCTCTGTGTTTGGTGTTTCAGGAGTGTCACAAACATAAAGAAGCTGGAGGAACTAGAGGACTTTCATTTGCTGAAGCTGTGACCTTAAGGCAGGTCACCCTGCCTAACCAGTCAGCTCTTCTCTCACTGTGCAAGTGATGCTTTCTCTTTTAAAAACAAGAAAACCTGTCTGTGACAGATATGCTGGGAAAATTAAAACATAGACTAGGGAACTATGCTTCTCACCTGGAATACTTTTCAGTTAAAGGTATGAATTGATTCTAATTCTTAAAATAACTAAAAATCTTCAATTTCTATTTCTCAAGCCTGTGAGACTGTGTAAGGTCACTACTAAAGACATCATATTTAATTTATTTTTTCCTGTGGATTCTTGCTTGTTGGGTCCATTTGTTTGAGTCACCCATGATATAAAAAGGCTTTCTGATTCTTTTTCCCATCTGTCCCTGCCCTTTGTGTCTCCCCTGGGACCAGAGGATGGTGTTAGGGGCCTGCTCAAGCTCCTCACAGCTCAGGCACTCCTAACATTTCACCTCAGCTTCCTCTGTTTAACCCAATTGAAGCCAAATTTCCTCCTAAATGTCATTAGAGCAATTTGGCTGATGACAATTTGCTCCTCTTTCCGCCCTCACTTTCTTTTCCTTCTCCTCTTTTTTTTATTTCTCTCTGCTGGGTTTTGGCTGCTGTTTCTCTGCAGATGAGAAAGCTTAGCTACAGCAATAAAGGGTTGAAAAAAAACCCTTCAGTTTGGAAGCAAAGGTCTTTCTAGGGTTTCTGGTTGGAGGACAGGAATGTGGTGGCATTTCACCATCATGGGACTTTACCCACCACCTTGACAGACTGACTCTAAAACTTAGGTTGGAGGGAGAGCAAACCTCAGAGGTAATTTCTGTGGGTTCAGTGCCTGAAAGAGCTGGATAAATAAGTTGAGATCTTCCTGACATAGGTTATTGCATTTTTAGCCCTTTTCCAGCATGTCTGAGGCCATGTTTCCCAGTGGATACCTGGCTCTGTTTTGGTTGGTCACAGCCATCTCCAGCATCAAGGGATGGCCCATGATGCTGCTGAAGTGCCACGTTCCCTTCCTGCTTGGCTCCCAAATGGAGACTCTTTTTCTAAAACTGCCCCTTTGCTTTTACAGCTCCTTCAAACACCTGATTGGTGGCCTAGATGATGTCTCCAATAAAGCCTATGAAGATGCAGAAGCAAAAGCAAAGTAAGTGTCTGCTCGTTGTGTTCAGTGTAAAATCTTAACCTTGTTTCTGTTGATGTCATGTCACTGTAATTAAAACAAAAATCTTGTATTTTCTCAACACAAATAATAGAAACCAGCTTTAAAAGTAGCAAATAAGATGCTTACTCCATGAGTACAGAAGGACCTGAGGGAGATGGGTCTCCTCAGGTCAGTGCCCAAAGATGAGTGATTCCAAGGTCCGTCTTAATCTCTTAATATGAGTCCATAGAAGTGTTTGATCTTCAGAATTTATCACAGAGTAATTCTGTTGAAATATGTTCTGGTGAGAAACTACAGGTCCTGGAAAGCTCAAGGAATGAAGGAAATGGTTGTTGAATCTGCTTTGTTTCTTCAGGGAGGTTGGCCAGACATCTTCACACCATCAAAACATGTTCTGAGACAAAGAATGGGGAATGGAGTGTGTCATCTGTGAATGCCTAGGAGAGCTACTTTGATGTGAAAGAATGTATTCATCTAAAGTCCAACTATAAATATTCATTCCTCTCAAAAGTGAAGTGCAGTATATTTTAAAATATTTCCAGAAGAACCCTCCTCTCCATTCATTCTTGATCTATAGATTCCTTTTAATAGGAAAACCTTATTATGTCTGTACCTTGATGCTACACCAACAATAAAGCTTTTGAAGAGGAGCATGTTCTGATTAGAGGGCTACTGAACAGAAGCCAGTGGGATTCAAAGGCAGAAGCAGTTTAAAAGAAAACTGAAGTTCCTCTCTACAAAATTATTTTAATTTTCCTCTTGTAAAATTAGTTTCATTTTCCTCTTACAAATTTGTTTTACTTCTGGGTTGTTTGGGTTTTTTTCTTATTTTATACATAATCACTTCTCATTAGAGCCAAAGGGGTTTGCAATACTGTGTAAGAAAGGAATTTGGCACTTCTCTGGAGAGAAAATGAGGTGCCCTGAGTAGTTAGTAGATTAAAAATAACTTTGTGTTTGTTTCTGAAAGTAAATACGTGTCCCAAGGAATTTAGTTTCTTGGGCAGGACTTGCTAATATTGCAAAGTTACCCACAACTTCTTTCTTTATTGTCTTTGAGTCATATTTGAAATACATTTTTAATCATGTTAGTTTATTTTAAGTTACTAGAATGCACCCCAGGGTTTCATGTTTGTTTGGAATGATGTTTCCCTGCCCCAAATCAAACATTTGAGCTTTCTTCTGCAAATGTTTAATTTCTCTACAGTTTTTGTTGATTTCATTGCAAAGGCAAGAGGCTCTCAGCCTCTTTTACCATCCCAGGAAATAGGTAGGTGGGGCACAGAATGCAAAGTCCAGTGGACCCAGTGGTAGAAAGTAGCTATTAGATATTATAGATAAATCTGTATTATTTGATCTCTTAACTATTAGTACCAGCTGGAAGCCTGGCATTTTAATGCCAGTAGCAGGTTATGCAGAGCATTTTACAAAGTGTTGGAAAATCAAGTGAAGCAGCTTCAGAGAGATGGTCCCAAGTATCCCAGGGAATTCCTATTTTAAGGTGCTTTTTGGTTGGTTTGTTGTTGGCTTTTTTAGTGTTACTATTTGGATTATATTGATTTCCAGCTGAACATGAAATAAGACATTGGTAATGAAACTGAGGAGTTTGGGGTTCAGTAATGACATGATGTTATTATCCCAGAAACATTTCTAAGGTTCCACCACAACCCAAGCACCAAGCAGGGTTTGCAAACAGGACTCACCATTCCCCATCCCATGGTCTGTCTTTTCACATCTATAACCTTGAGCTGCATTGTTAATGGGGTATCACCTGGTGATTTATTAGCACAGGCAAGGTTTCTGTGTGCAGATGGGATCAGAGGCTTTTTCAGGAGTATTTTATGAGCTTCAAGGAAGGACTTTCAGGATCCCTTCTGGTCTTTATATCGTGTCTAGGGAGCCTGCAGGTTTGGATCAACACTTTGGGAACCAATGGGCCAACATTGGCCTTAACATTTTGGAGCTTTAATCTCCTTTATTAGTATTCTTTTCTTGTTTAATGCTAATGGAAGGGCAAACTGAAGGATTCTTGATGATGGAGGAATTGTTCCCCAGAAGGAGGAACCGATGAGTTTTGATAGCAGCTTCTCTGTCTTCTCAGGCAGAGGCCTGGGCTTGAGTCCCCTCCCTCAAGACCATAGATGAGAGTTACATTATCACCCTTCACATATGGACGTCTGGACTTTGAGAAAGGAGAAGGGATCACAGCTTTTTTGCCTGGGGAAACATTAGGGAAATACCACATTCAAGTTTGCTCAGCTCCTTGAAAGGAGCCCCTGCAGAAACTTTGCTTGCTCAAGTCATTGTTCCTATAACTCATAGAATCAAACTCCTCTGGGAGAAAAGCCTTCTTGGCAGAAGTTTTCACTGGGATTACTTTTCAAGCAGCTGTTAATTAGCTCTAGCTAATTGTCCTTCAATGGCTTCTCTTTGCTGAGGGTGAGTTTGGTAAAGGGAAGAACTCAGCATTGGTGTTAGGTGAGGCTTTGCACAAATCACACTGCAAAAGGTTTCCTTCTTTGGGCATCCTTGGAGCTGGCACCTCATTTCCAGTGCTTGTATGGCAGGTGGCAAAGGGCCTTTGGCTAGAAATGTTCTGTACACCCCTGTCTCACCTGGGATCTGAGGGATCCACACTAAGCTCAGACATTCAGCAGATGCAACCACACAGAGTAAATACCAAGGGCATCAGTGTGAGACATCATCACTATGGAGTGTCAGAGCCTGGTTTTTGTTGGTGTGGTGGCCATGTTGAGGGCCAAAATGTGGACAATGTCCTACTTTCTTATCAGTTGCTGCTGGTTAAGAGAGGTGAACTCCAATTATGTGTACAACAATATATATGAAATGGCAGGATTTTCACCTCAATCTACCATATCAGGGTGATAATGAAATTGCTGTGAATATGTAGGCTCAGCAGAAGGGCAGGTTTAAATTACATCCAATGCAGGATTCAAGTTCCTCAGCAGGATCTGGGCCATGGTCAGATGTTCTCTGCAGAAATAGCTCCCAAATAGGTGGCACTGGTGGGTTTTTTTAATCTCTGTGTTAAAGTGTGACCCTGGGGTTTCAGAGCTGGTGGTCCCAGTGCAGGGTGTGACTGAGGGGATGCTGGGCAGGACTTACTGAGTCAGAGGATCTTTCTATGTAGCCAAAAATCCTCCAGGGCTGAACAACGTTTTGTTGAGTTGATCTTTTGCCTACCTGGTGTTTTGCCACCCAAACCTTGAGGTATGGTGAAGGTGCTCCTAGGACCTGAGAAAGTGTCTAACAATCAAACTGCTACAGACAACTGAGCTCCTACTTCCTACCCATGGGCATGATTTGAAGGAAGGAGGAAGCTCTGCTCAGCTCTTGAAGGCAAAGGGAACACAAACCACCATTCAAAGATAGTTCAGCTGAGCAGAGGGGCTTCCTGTACCTCTAAATGAGGTGTCAGAGAGGGGCCATGGCTTTGGGGATCTGCTTGCTGCCTGGGATGGTTGTAGGTGTCTCTCTGTTCAGCATGGGCACCTTTGGATTGTGTCCTAAATGCCTGCCTCTTGGCCTGCACAAGTAGCTGGGATGCCCAACACCTGGCTGTGTCAGTGCTCCAGTTGGAAGCTGCCCAGGAGCCCCTGCCAAGCAGACCTCAGAGAAAGTGGTGTCTCCAAGGGCTTTGGCCTTCCCTCAATGAGACATGGCTCTGCCTAGGAGCTCACTCCAGCACCAGAACTTACACCTTACTGCCCAGGTCTCTTTTGGAGACACTTTTCCCTGGTTTTTGCAAGCTTGGGATTGGCAGTTCCTAATGTCTGTTCCTTGGTGCAGTCTCTTGTGTCAGAAATCACCCACGTGTCATCAGTGAGGCCATATAATTAGTGTTCTGCTCCTTGGATGTATTCAGGTAAGTTAACAAATTAACAAACTAATGAATATTGTAGTTACATCCTCACCAGGTGAAGGAGAGAGGCAACCACTTCTTTCAGCTCATGTTCTGAGAAAACAAGGGTTTCAGAAGAGCAGTGTGTCCCAGTCACAGGCCGTGTTGGAGTTCAGGAGATACCTCAATAAGCAGCAGACCCCTCTAAACGTGGATCACTTCCACATGGAGCAGCTCTCAGAGAGAGGAAACCGGTGTTTTCTACTGGAGTTGTTGGTGCCAAGTGAGGTGAAGGTTCAGCCAACACCACTGGCTCTGGGCATCTGCCCCATCTGGAAAACTCCTGGAGCTGATCTCTCTGCATGCTACTTTACCTCTAGCCATGTCATGGAATGAGGTCCCACCTTTTCCTGCCATGGCTGTAGGAAGGAATAGCCTGTCCCATGTCACACAGACAAGGACAGTGACAAGGTGGCCCTCAGCACCAGGCTGGGAGAGCTGGAGCTGCTTGGGCTTTGGCTGCTCTCATGGCCAGAGTCCCTTTTCTCCTCTCACATCCAGAATTACCTGCTGATGTTGATCATCAGTGGCAGTGGGGCTTGAAACAAATATCCTACTGAAGTCCAGACACTGGTGCCTTCATGCTCCTGCTTCAGGAGGAGCTCCAGGCTGCTTTGATGGCACTTTTTGCTTAGTTTTGTTCTATTCAGGCTGTGTGGCAGCCCTGGGGGAACACGGCTCGGTACTCGCAGCCAAAATTGTCTCCTGTTCACAGGACTGGAGGAGACAGGGGACTTTGTGTCATGTCTTTCCCTTGCCTGGCAGCTCTGGCCCCAAATGCCTTTTGTCTTCACCTGGGCTGTGGTTTCACAAAGAGCTCCATCCAACCCTCTTCTGGTACTGGCCCTTTTTTCACTTTGCCTCCTCTCTCACTCCATGTATTTACTCCTAACACAGCATCCCGGCAGTTCACTGACTCACTTTGGGTGCAGAGGGTGGTTCTTAGTAAGTTTTCCATTTTATAAGCAGAATCTGTAGATCCTGTTCCCCTTCTCTCCCAAGTTTCAAGGTAAAATTGACTTGAACAAGAAAGGTACAGGCACAGCTGACCAAGCAGGGT